GCTGCCCAGCCCTGTGGTTGAAGCCGATACCCTGGCTGGTGATCTGAATCCTATCATTTGTAACCCTCTTGCAGTCTTAGCAATTTTTTTTTCAAACCATTAAAAAAATAAAATGGTGGGCAACAAAATGTCAAGACCCTGAGACTTGAGGTTAAGAGTTAGTAAACAGGTTCTTTATTAAAACAAGTACAGTATAACAAAGCCGAGCGTCCCATTGACAAACTGAATGACAAAACATTTGAATCTTTTGTTCTGAGAGACAGTCAAATCAACAGTATTTACAAGAGTAAAAATATATTTATCATCATTAAGATATTCTGAACATCCCCCAAGCAAAAAAACAACAACAAAAAAATCAGATTCTTAAACTTTTTTAAACAGCAGAAGAGAAATCTTCCATCAAGTCCCAGCTGAGTCCCTGGAGCAGCTCACGCAAGGAGCTGAACTCTGACCCGGAAGTCAACCTCTGCCTGCGCCCCAGCAGCTGATAGCAGCTCTCTATTGGACAGAAGCGAGGAGCCTCTGGCCAATAGGGAGACGCCATCAGCTCCTGGGGCTGCAGCCTGTCAGAGGAGGCTGGGCGGGACTTGTTAGTCCAGTAACAGAGACTTCGAACCCAGTCAGTCTTACTGGTCACCCTCGATCGCCCGTTCTTTAAAGAACGGGGGGCACCTCTGTTTTTGATCAGTAATCTGGGGGGTTTTCCAATTTTTGTTGCAAATGGTAAATGATTTAATTGATCACGGCACCTGGCTGATCACTGTTCCAGGTCTTCAGGACCCCCCAGATCCACACACACCTGATGAATTCGATCGCGGGGTCAGAGGTTGGATCATGAGGCGACACCTAGCTAAGTGTGGCTGTGACTCCCTGGAGTTTCCCAGAAGCCTCTGCACCAGGGGTGCCAGGCGCCCATGATGGAGGGGCTGCTGTCCACAGATCCCCAGCTGATCTCGTTATCCAATTACCTGCCCCCTTCTGTAAGGAACACTGAAACACACGTTGTTAGGACTCGAGAGTAAACTCAGTAAAAGAGTTGGAGACAGACTCCTGTATATGGTGGGTGTCATTAAGACATTAGGTCAACTGTTTAACTGACTGTTCAGATTGGTTCAGATGCGCCCAGGCCAGACGACCCTGATCTCATGATCTCGCTGGTCACCCAGCTGAAACTGAAGGATTTCTCGTTTAAAGATTTTTGTTTTTTTTAATTTCAGCAGAAGAATGGGGAAAGCGCTCCTCTCCAGTCCGGCTCCGGAGGGCTCTCTCTCTCCGGGACACACCTGTAGAGACGGAGACATCACACTCAGTAAGGGAAGCTGCTCTCCGGACACTGCTGGGCGACATCGAGACACGCGGTAACATATTGACCCCGGGGGAGTGTTCCTGACCGCGCAGAAAGCACCGTGAGGAAATTAAAAAGTGATCCGCGCGCTTAAGAAAGTGTAATGATTCGATTCACAGTTCCCGGCTTGCGGAAACACGTATCATCCATTGGAAAACTCTCCTGCCCTCTCATCCTCTTGTCAAGAGCGTCAGGTGCTCAAGTCCCCTTCCTGAATCCAGGGTGTCACTGGGTGGGTCTCTTCCGAACTCAAAGCAGATCCGGTCAGGAAGTCTTACCTTAGCTCGTGGGCACCAACATTCGCCTCACTGCACAAAGAAAACACAGAGACCAGGTCAACATCTCAGACAGTTCGGCATTCCCTCACTCATTGTTTGTTTAAGCGCAGACTACATGCCTGATACAGAATAGTGGTTCAAATAAAAGAACCACTGATTTAAAGCTGTGATCTGAGCTGACCTGCTGTCTCTCCCTCAGGGAGGGTGAGGGTTACAGTCAGAGACAGGTCTGATCTG